TGAATTGCTTTCGAAAATGACAACTAAGTGAATCAATTTATACATCTGGTACATTCAATAATATTCACGATTTAGGTAATAAATTATTTTTGATGTGTGAATTAAATGCAGCATATGATTTCATTATAGTCTCAAGGTTTTTTAATGAGAAGTTAATTAAATCTGAGCAGAAACATTGCATTTCCTTGGTTTGAAGCTCATAAGTAATTTTCCATTAATTTGATAGTATTAGTAAATTGGGTTATTCAGATGTGAGCATCGTGACCTTCCCAACAGTACTGAGTCAATCTGTTCGCTTTAATCTTATTTTACTGCTGCCAGTCTCTTAACAAGTGCATAAAATCAATATCGATCAAATCTCAACCTTTTTCGTTGTAAAATATATCAAGATTACAGGGCTGGGGATATGTTAGAAAAAGAACAATTTAATAATTAATTGTGTGTTTGATCGAAATGGGTTTGTGTTTTCAGGACGGAGTCGGTCGTAGAAAAGTTACTTAGCAACTGGATGTCGCTGTGTCTGTACAAGTATTTGAAGGTAACAGTGACGTAATTGCTCTTTTCATATCCATGAAATATTCATGTTAGACTATCCTTGCGATATGTGTTCATTTAATTTAGGCATAAATGTGATGTTATTTTAATGGAAATTTTCCCTTCAATTTTTATCACCGATATAATCATATTTTCTTTGAAAATCATCTTCTATTTGTGTTAAGGGCTTTCTAGTTCTTTTATCATCTTGCTTCTGTCTCAAAATGTGTTGTTTTTTTGTCTTAACTGCCCCATGAGAACTTTTACATTTGAGTTGTTTTATGTTATTTTGATATGGTTTACTATTTCACATTTTTTGGCCAAAGCACCTTGCATGTTATTTTGATACTGTCTTTTCTTTGTCCAAGCCTCCCTGTTGCCCTTTTGAACCTGGCAGCACGTTGTGTTTTATCATAATACTTCAGCTTATTCCTGACATAAATATTTAGCCAAATATTTTTCAATATGGAAGCCTGTCATCATTATCAATGTTGCAATTTATACAATGTATTTTCTTGACCGAAAATATGTTTATGTTGTGTAACACATACCGCATTTCACCCAATAAATGACCTGACAGAAATCACGAGGACATCCACAGATTTAGTGAGTGTAGGATGTGTGTTCCCTGCTTTTTAATGCATGCTGAACATGTATATGTATACAAGACATGTGAAAATGTATACAGTCTGCGACTTTAGCCAATAGCCCAAAGCCCGAGTTTAGTAAATTTGTGTTTGGGCAAGTAAGCTCAGCTGATAGTAGTCCATTATAATAACAGTAAAATCTACTGACAATGATGAGTTCCAATAATTACTAAGTCACTCTACATTCATGGCGGTCGGGTAGCCTAGTGGTTAAAGCGTTTGCTTGTCACGCCGAAGACCCGGGTTCGTTTCCCGACATGGGTACAATGTGTGAAGCCCATTTCTGGCCCCGCCATGATATTGCTGGAATATTGCTAAAAGCAGCATAAAACCATACTCACTCACTTACTCTACATTCATAATATTGGTAAAAGTATAGGGGTTCTTTTTTACATTGAATATGGTATCAGTGCTTTGTTCTTGATCCTATTTCCAAGCTGTTGCCAAAACATGATTACCGGCCAGCTGAAATGATATCCAAATAAACACAAGGCATTACATCATGTGAGGTGTATCAGTAACACTGGTGTAATGTTATCTTGCAGGATCATGCCGGCTCTCCTCTGTTTATGTTATACAAAGCAATAAAGCTACAGGCGGAGAAGGGACCAGTTGATTACGTGACAGGAGATGCCAGATACTCTCTGTCCGAGGATAAACTGCTTAGAGAGAAAATAGAGCCCAAAGTGATGGTAAGAATCGATCCATGTTTCACAAATCCAAGAAAACACTCCACTGTATTGCTGTATCTTGAGTCCAGCGATTGATCATAGTCGAGAAGTTCACAAAAACACAATAACCATTCTTGTTGAATCAAGAAACAGGACAAGAATTAGTTGATGTTGAGTAAACACAGCATCCTGCAGCTGTAACGGAAACCACAACAAGAATCTCCACTTGTTTCACTGTTTTCTGTCCAATTGCATAACTTATGTTTTTAGGATTCTTGGAATGTGTTCATGGTTTTGGAATTGGCTTAGAATTGCAGTAGATATATTTTTGGCAGAAATATATCTTTAATCTGTTATTTTGAAGTTTGTGACAATATAATCCTTGTTTGAGGAATCGGAGATGATATTCCTTATTATGTCTAGAAGCTGCTCAAGAATTGATCCTTACTTAAGAAATTTGGCAAAAAGTAATTACCACAGATCTTGTTTTGGTTATGGCTGGGAACCATGCTTTAGAATCTTACCCCAAACCGCAATAACAAGCACCTGTTGTTTCTGTGACTCACAAGATATTCATTGCTGCCCATGCCAATGTCAAGGTCAGGTGAAGGGTAAGGGTCAGCTTGATATTTTGAAATAACAGTAAAAGTTGTTTGAATTATCTTAAGGAATGTATTAATGTGAGGCTGACTGATTGGATATGCTGTTAGATGTTTGAAGTATATTGGTTTCTTCCTTTAGAGAAAGTAGCTGTTTAAGCCATTGTGCTTGATTAGATTCAAGTCTGATTATGTTTGTGCCTCAAGAAATAAGACTGTTTGTCTTATGATATGAATGTGGTGTCATTTCGAAGAGGATTCTCTTGAAATAGTTTTGAAAAAACAACCATTTCGCAGCATCATTGACGATTTATGTCCATTAAAGTGGCATGAGTGACCCAGTTGTCTAAGGCACTGCAATTTGTTGTGCAGAGTTGTGCCCCTTATGTATACCAGAATCCTATGATCATGAGTAGAATCCCAGATTCACGCTGATTATGGTTCTAGATTTGTCAGCACCATGCCCAAGCTCGTGGATTTCACAAAAGCTGGCTTTTCTCCTACATCTAGCTAACGATTCTAACCCAGGTCTTCACTGTGGAGACAAGCATGGGTTGCTGAAGACCAATATGTAGGGCGACAACAATATTTCAAGGTGATGTCAATGTGTCTTTTTGTGTGTATGCTTCAAGGGTACTGTTTAAATGCTTGCTGTTTTTGCAGACACTCAATGTGGAGCATAATGGCGAGATCAGCCAGTGCCGTGTCCTCGACTGTGATACCGTAACCCAGGCCAAGGAAAAGATGCTGGACATGCTGTGTAGAAACGTTCCCTTCTCACAGCGGCCGTCCGTACAAGATTTAGATCTAGGTATGTGGAAATGTTCCCTTCTTACAAGACTGTCCGTACAAGACTTAGATCTAGGTATGTGGAAATGTTCCCTTCTTACAGTACTGTCCTTACAAGACTTAGATCTAGGTATGTGGAAATGTTCCCTTCTTACAGTACTGTCCTTACAAGACTTAGATCTAGGTATGTGGAAACGTTCCCTTCTTACGGGACTGTCCGTACAACATGATCTAGGATTCTAGGTATGTTGAAACATTACCTTCTCACTGCAGCTCCCTGTTCAAAACATAGATCTTTAGCCAATCATAATGACTCTACAGGCTTTTGAAAAAAATGAAACAATTTTTTAATATGCAAATTTTTAACAATTAAGAATCCGAGAAAATGCTTAAATTAGAAGAAGTTTGGCAGTAAGTGATGGGGTCACATCTGGTAGGTGGTGTTCCTTTGGTAATTTCATGGGTAATTTGTTTTTGATGTTCCAAATGTTCAAGTTTGAAACATGCGGAGCAACAGACCATGAGACAGGTTAGACTTGCAAAGTATGTGGTCTTCTTAATTCTCCCTGCATGGCCAGACTGTACTCAGCTAAAGCCAGAGGCTTTCTTGTTGTAAAGATGCGATGTGATATCAGTATCACATTCTCCGCTTCATTACAATGTGAGAACACATTAAATGATGAAGTATGTTTTCGTTGGAATCTCTTTTTAAAAACTATAAGCGTTAAATTAACTCCATTGTCAAAAAATCTCTTTCTAACACTGCAACAAAAACGTCTTGGTAAAAAATGTTGATATTATACCATTAGCATTCCTTCATAATGCTGGAAACAGGATAAATTGGCAGTTTTCAGACAGGTTTTTTTTTTAGGAGGCAGCTTTTTTTTGTTTGGTGGAAACAGTGCTATTGAGGGTCATACAACCAAACTAAAGTAGAGTCATGGGGATGTTTTATTGATGCGGGGTGTGTCGGAGATCAAGAATGTGGTGTTTTTACCATAAGATGTTTGTTTGTTAAGGGAAATGGTTCGGCGGTGTAGGCTGAGATAGATATTCCTCCACGTATTTCTGGTTTCAGAGTGGAGAAATGGTCCCACAGGTCCCGTTCTGCTCCAAGATGAGGAGTCTACCACTCCCTGCAAGGATGGCTGGCGCCGTTATAACATGCTGTCATATTACAAAGTAACAGATGGCGCTTACATGTCTCTGCTGCACCGGCAGCAAACCATCAAGTCTTTGAATGGTGAGTGGAATCCAGCAAGAATTGGTCAACTTTTAGAATGTAACAAATATTATTCTAAATATTTGCAAATGTTTGGAATTACCGTTTACTGATGGAAATGAAATGAAATTAAAATTGATGTATTAATGTTGTGTTTCTGTAATACCTGTATCGGGATGTATATTATTTGTGAAAAAGGTTTAAGGTTATGTAAATTAGTTTGAAAAAAATTATATAATTGCAGTAATGGGGATTTATTGATAGCGAGTTACTCGTGTACTTGCATGTGCAATAACATTATTGTCGTGCAGTATTCACATTGTTCTAGAACAATAACCTTCTGATCATGATTGATGTTGTAATCATGTAATAAATCCTCATATTGCATGATGCGTTGCCGTATTCGGAGCATGGGCTTCGACATATGACCTAGCTTGATTTATCGGGAGATACATTCAGTTATTATCATCGTCATCATCATCATCATAAATCTCTTGTGAATTCCTTCGTAATGCTCCAATTCCATCTTATAATAATGCCATAAAAATACTTCGATGACTCAAAAAAAAAATGGAGTGGGTTCGAGATAAGGTTATTAATTCTTAATGTGATTTGGGAATACCTGGACCAAAATGTTAAAAGCTTTTTTGCTTGTCAGGTGGAATTGATATGTTCCAGGGCTATAAAAAAACCGAGAGAAAATAGTTTAGTTTGAACTGAAAAAACATCTATTGTTTCTACGTTTCTGAAATTTCCATCAGTTATTGTTTATTTATGACACTATTTGCATAAAAACTGTTTTTTCTCTTGCAAATATATATTCAGAAGTATTTAAGGTTAAGCATCGTTTTTGCTTGGCTCACAGACTCATTAAGATGGTTTTCTGCTCTTTAAGTTGGAACTAATAAAACAAGAATGTCACAATGAGAGAATAAATCAAGAATTATGAGTTATGGACCAATTATGTTGCAGACAATGAATCCCCTTTCAGACAGCAGCTTCTTATTATTTTCATAATCTTTAGTAGAATGTGAAAAAATATGTACACTCAAAAGAAGTTAAGGAAAATCCAATTTTTCCATGTGACTGTAGTTAATCTGTCAAGTCATGACATGTTTACTGTAGTCATATGGAAAATTTGGGTGTTCTTTATTTTCTTTCGTATAGTATACAATTTTTTGAATACCATACCTCTGTTACATCATAGCCATAAATACCAATTTCATCACCATAAAACCCTTTAGATTTTCAACAGAAGTACACTTAACTGTCACCCATTCAACATAGTCTTTAGGAGAATCATATCTCACGCCCAATAACATAAAACATATTGGACAAGGCAAATCTGTGATCCATGAAGAAAACATTGTCATTAATAAGTGCATGAGCTGGCTTTATTATATTTAAACATATATCTTATCTTTTTCTTGTGTTTATACCAGACTCCATGTGTAGATGTAGCTGTACTAGTCTGCATGGTTCCCTCCGTGTGTGATATATGGAAGTTCGTATGAAGGCTTATTATATAAGTACACCTATGTATTTGGCTTGGTTTTCACAGGTTCATTAGATAACACTGTTATGTCTGTGAATTCAGCCTTCCCCATCATGAAGATGGACAACGACCCCGGCACCCGCCATTGGCATCTTGTAAGTACCCCTATCCCATAATGATCATCCCTCCTTAGCCTGTCTGATTGGACAGGTGATAATTAACCCTCTCTGGCTCGTCAGACGGAGTATTGCTGTGGTATTAACTCTTAATGACGTGCCTAATGTATGACTGATACCGCTCTTAGTATGTGGGTTTTTTTAACAAAAAAAGATTTTTTAATTATTTATTTTTATATTTATGGAATTATTTATGATGTTTAATAATTAACAGTGCAGGGGTTAAGTTATGGAAGCTGCTTGGTGTAATAATGATTATTAGATTGTAGGGAATTAGCTGGACCTTTTATGCATTTGATATAAAGGATGCTATTTTATGTCAGTAATAGACTTCCTCCAATGGTTAATAGCATAGATTTGCATTATTATTATATTTGTCAAGATTATCCTTTGATGTATTCTAAATACTTATGAAAGGGATGAACTGTTATGAGACCTGCCTTTGATCATGGTTAGAAACTGTCCTGACATTGATGGCATCCAAACAGATAAAAAGGCTATGTCTAACTCTTAGCTTGCAATTAGTTGTATGGAATTCATTACCATAAGAGACTGCTGAAGCCATTGGCAATACTTTTACAGGTTTATGTACCGTTTCTGAAACTATCTTTTAAAAAAATCACAGTTCACATAGGGTAAAGGGGTGGTTGGGTGGCCTTGTGGTTAAAGCGTTCACTCGTCACACCGAAAGCCCGAGTTTTAATCCCTACAGTGTGTGAAGAGCATTTATGGTGTCCCCCGCCATATTGCTGGAATATTGCTAAAATTGGCATAAAACAATTCTCATTGGGTAAAGATTAGTAATAGACATACTACTCAAATTTTGATAGGGATACAGATATTTCATGCTATAGGGATATATATCCCTGTCAAAAGCTGACTAGTATATATGTTATTTCTCCAACTGTTTTCACTGTCGTAGACTTGTAGGTGTTGAACTTTGGGGTAACCTTGGTTTAAGCATTTGCTTGACTTGTCAAAGAATTCTAACTTGGGTAGTTTTAGAAGAAATGTCTTGGGATTCCCTGATTGATGCTTCAATGCTAGATGTGTATAGCTCACCTGACTAACTCACTCACTGACTGACTGACATTAACCTTGTGTGCATGTTTCAGGCCAAGCATGATGATGCCACACAGAAGGATGGGGGGGTCAAAATGATTTCTGAAATCTTCCTTACCAGACTTTTGTCCACAAAGGTAAGTTGCAACACAGACTGTCAATCCATTTATGATGAAACTCTTTAAAAATGCATATCGATTCATTTTGTTATATATTTCAAAAGATTTTCACAAAAATCAAATTAAGTTTCTGGGAATATAGGCATGAGATATTCAAACATACAATATCGTTGTACGGGTTCACATCTCATTCGATGTGTTTAGAGATGGACTTAAGCACAAAAACACATCTTTTCTGATTTCGAGTTAAAGTTGATTCTGGTTTTCAAATTCTTTCTGTATGGATACCAAAGATCCCAAATTGACAAACAAAATGTTTCTCCCTCACAGGGTCTTGTTTTGATAACTATCTTAGCGCTAAGACTGGAACTCCCATACTTTAACATCCCATAGTTAGACATAGCACTAAGATGCATTCTCTGTAGATCTAGGCCAGTTCCTGTGATTTTTTATTTTCGCTTTTTATTTATATATGATGTTTTATCGCCAGCTCTTTCTATTCGTCCATAACACTGTTTTAAAACAAACTAAATTTGAAGTTAAATTCATCAAGGACTTCAGTTTTGACTGAAAATGTTTGTCAGCACCATACCTTTACTTGTTGGTTTCGCCAAAGTGCATCACTTCTGGATGTCGTTCTACTTCAAGCTGACACACTGTGATATAACTGAAATAATGTTTGAACTGTGTTAAATCCAAATCACATAGACGACCTGGACCTTGACCCCTGGAAATTCAAATGTCCATCCTCGGAGCAAGTCCCCAAGGCCGTCCAGACTGGCCATACACACTCCAAGGAAATAAGTCACTTGACCATTAAGGACTCAAATACCCATGAAGCTCAGATATACAAATGTGTTCAAACAGTAACAAAAGGACATTTGTCAATTTCTTCAAGGTATTTCTTTACGTTGTATATGATTGAAATGATTGTTTTTGCAGGGAACACTACAAAAGTACATCGATGATTTATTCAAGGCAATGTTGAGCACCAATCATACAATGCCGCCCATCATTAAGTACCTGTTCGACTTCTTGGACCAGTCAGCTGGGCATTACGGGCTGACAGATCCTGATGTGGTACACACGTGGAAATGTAACAGGTGATTACCGCTCTCCTTCGCTTAAGAAAGAAACTGTGAAAAATATGCCGTTTCCTCCCTTTTATGTCTGCTTTGATGTTGGGCTTCTTAAATCCAGTAGTGCCTTGCTAGCATGTAGGCTCTGGGGAAATGTGGTTAGTTCTGAGGCAATTACACTCTTTTGATATTATTTTGGTATTAATGCGTAACTCAATATATTTGTAACACATGCCACATATGATATGAAAGAATTGATTATCAATTTGCCGTATGAACATACTCTGTTTCCTTTGATCTCTTAAAGCAGAAAATGGAATATTATCCATCACGTGAATAATTAACTTAAATACAGCAAATAATGTGAACTGATACGAAATGAAAAATTGAAGATTAAGTGGTTCTGCTTTGTTTTCTTAAACAGCTTGCCTTTGAGGTTCTGGGTGAACATCGTGAAGAATCCAGACTTCGTGTTTGACATCAATAAGCCCCATATTGTAGACTCATGTCTCTCAGTGGTGGCACAGACTTTCATGGATAGTTGCTCCACCTCAGAACACAGACTGGGAAAGGTAAATAAAGTTTACAAGGCCTTTGCATCTTGTAAACTCATGATAAGCATAAGAGGTGACATGAATGGACACCCTTGACCCTGGTGTAGGAGCCAACTGAGCTTGTAAAGTCCTGTACATCCGCTAGTCTAGTCATGAAGATGTCAGGGTAGAATAGGTCTTCAGCAACCCATGCTTGCCATTAAAGGCTACTATGCTTGTCTTCAGTGGTGACTAATGGGATTGGGTGGTCAGGCTTGCTGACTTGGTTGATGCATGTCATCATATCCCAATAGATTGATGTTCACAATGTCAATCACTGGATTGTCTGGTCCAGATTCCATTATTTACAGACCGCCGTCATATAGCTGGAATATTTCTGAGTGCAGCGTTAAACAACAAACAAACAAAGAAAACATCCACTTGTGGGCTGGTACTATAAGACCGGCTTTAGTTTGGACTAGTACAAGCAGCCACACACGTGAATGTATGTCGCTAAATAAGCGCAATAATCTTGAAGGCAACTTCTCACCTCACCTCACCTCACCTCACCTCACCTCACCTCACCTCACCTCACCTTTTGTTTTCATGACTAAGGATATTGCATATATGTGATTTCATCTCCCTAGGACTCTCCATCCAACAAGCTGCTGTTTGCCAAAGATATCGTCCACTACCGCAAGTCTGTAGAAAAATACTTCCAGGACATCCGGGATCAGCCGGCAGTCAGTGATCAGGACATGAACTCCTTCCTGGCGGAAGTGTCTCGGGTGAGTGCTGTACCCGCTGTGCCACCTGGTACTGGGGGTACTGATGTAGGGGCTGTGGAGTAGTTCAGGTGTTCAATTTCTACAGGGGTGCAATGTGGGAATTCCATTTCTGGTGTCCCTCGCTGTGATATTGCTAAAAGCGGTGTAAAAACCATACTCACTCACTCACTCCAACCAAATGGACGGGGTGGTCTGGTTAAGCGACTAGCGTGTCATCATACCCCAATGTCATGGATCATGGCTCACAATATCAATCACTTGATTGTCTGGTCCAGACTTGATTATTTACTGGCAGATGTCATATAGCTGGAATATTGCTGAGTACATTGTTAAACAACAACAACAAACACTTCACAATGTGACTGTGCAGGAATAGGTCCCCAGTAGCCCATGTTGATTGCAAAATAATGAGGATTGGTTGGTTGCAGAGTGTCCTCACTGATTGTGTTGTGCTCATACTGTCATCCATTGGTTTGTCAGGCCCAAATTATGTCAAATTAGTTGCTGGCTGGTGTGACATAACTGAAATATCGCTAACTACATTATCAATCATTCTCTTCCTAAACATTGTAATGTCAAGTAAAATATCTTCCCGATAATATCATAATATCATCCCAAATATACATTAAGTGTTATTGAAATCAGTGTGTATGGACTGGAATATTAATCCTGTCTCGCTAGAGTGAGGTTATCTTATTTATTGTGCTGGAACTGGAACTGGAACTGGAAATGTTTAAATTTGTACCGCCCAATATTTTTAGACTTTTTCTGTTGATAAATTAAAAATAAATGTGAATATTTTTTTTTTTTGTGAAATATATATGTATCATTTAAGCTTAAAATGGAAAACAATGTCAACAGAATCTTTTTTCATAACATGTTTAATGTTTTATTTATTTGCGAGACTATGGTTTATATTTCATTTATTGTGTGTGTATTTCAGATGTGTACAGGGAAGTTCTATATATCCAGTGCTTTGAGGGAGTTGTATTCTTACGTGTCCAAGTATCATTCAGAGGTGAGTTCATCACAGGCAGTTGCGGGTCATAATTCTGAAATTGGTTTGTATTCTCCCCAGGGATCTGAGAATGAAGTTCTAGTGAACACTGATCCATTGACCAGGGTGTTAATAATGAATAATGTAGTGCTGCGAGGATGCATCAGTGGGCAGTCGGGGCATTACATATGTCCATCATCATCATCATCATCATCATCATCATCATTTAATGTGAAGACTATTTTCAAATTAATTTGGCACACATATTTTTCGTTTGAAATATTTTATTTCCAGCTGTTGAAAAGTGATGGATGGTTTTCGTATAAAAAACAACATCTTTCAAGATATTTATTTCAACAGCTGAAACATTTATGTAACTTTCAAAACCTTTTTCCCTCCCATTCTCATAAGCTTAAGTCACAGAAATCTTACCAGATATTTCAAATGTATTGATTTGTTGGGCTGAAAGTGTATGTATTTTCCCATAGACACCATAGAAAGAAAAACTGTAAAATACATTAGCTACAACATAATACATGCAGCACAAAATAATAAAAATGGTTTTCAAATGGATTCACAAGTCGGCCAACAATCCGCTGGAAGAATATATATAAAACACATCCTTAGTGCTCTACTCATCACGCACAGAAGTCAATATTCAGCTTTTTATCATCTTTCCTATTTTGATTACATAGTTTCATATTCTCATCACAACTTGGCTACAAAAAAGTAAACCTATTTAAAATCACTCATTTTGGCATAACTGGGAGTTTCAGATGGTAATTTCTTTTGATAGATGATAGGCCTTAGTGTAAGAAGTGACATTATTGATTTCTGTGTTTTTGATCATTGGGAAATAAATTGTAAAGTCATCAATTTGCGCCGAGCAGCAATCAATGTAAAAATGGCTGGTTACTTAATGGAGAGCGGGGATATTTTTGTATGTTTCATAAAATGCCAGGCGGAAGTGCTCAATTACACATAGCGTCTATTTTGGAATATTTTGTGTGGAATTTTTTTTAAATGTTCTGAAAAGCAGTATGTGGTAAATAAACTGTTTCTGTCACTAATGGGGAATTAATGGTAAACCATGACATGAGACGACGGTTGAAACTTTTGGATTATTCATATTGTGCATGTGACACATAGAAATGGCTCTTTTATGCTGATAGGTTTTAGACCAATTCAGACATTAAAGTAAACTGACAATTTGGTTGAAAAATGTTCTTATTTCGATAACATAACTGCTCACTATGGTTAAGTCTGTGAGTTCTGTAAACTGAGTTTGAAAACTATATCAACAAGTTAAGATATTCCAAAGAATCTTAAATATATATTTTATTATGTAAAGACTGACTGGAGGAACATGGTAGTCTATCATCTTACTGCATCTAGAGGTGATTGGGTAGAGGTGACTGGGTAGAGGTGACTGGCTAGAGGTGACTGGCTAGAGGCGACTGGGTAGAGGCGACTGGGTAGAGGTGACTGGGTAGAGGCGGCTGGGTAGAGAGGTGACTGGGTAGAGGTGACTGGGTAGAGAGGTGACTGGGTAGAGGTGAATGGATTGGGTAGAGGTGACTGGGTAGAGGTGACTGGCTAGAGGCGACTGGGTAGAGGCGACTGGGTAGAGGCGACTGGGTAGAGGTGACTGGGTAGAGGCGGCTGGGTAGAGAGGTGACTGGGTAGAGGTGACTGGGTAGAGAGGTGACTGGGTAGAGGAGGTGACTGAGTAGACATGACTGGGTAGAGGTGAATGGGTAGCTTTGGTGGTTAAAACATTTGTTTGTCTCATTGAGCCCCAAGTTTGATTCCCCACATGGGTGCAATGTGTGAAGCCCATTATTTGTGTCCCTGCCAGGATAGGAGAGAGTACTGCTTAAAAGAGCGCACTGCAAAACTGAATCACTCACTCTGGTTGTAAAAACAGTGCTTGCTTCTGACAAAAAGTACTGCCAAAGGGTTCTTGCAAACTGAAGAGAGATTCCATATTTTTACAAATGTGTTGGAGACAACGAAATGTTGAAGACTTGTCATACGGACAATAATTGACGTGTTGAAGCTGAATATATTATTGGTGCGATGTACTATCCCTTAACAAAGTGTCCCTGACAGCCATGTGTGCAGTGAACACAGTTTGAATATCTCAGTGTGATATTTCATTGGTAACATTCTCAAACAACTAGTGTTGCACATTACAGATCATCTTGTTCTTGATGTCATATTTATCCATTTGTCCTTTCCTCCATAACAATTACTGTTGTACATTACAAATTTTAAATGATTTTGGTGTCACATTTCTTCAGACATATTCCTAATAACTTGTGTTGTACATTACACATCTGAAATGATTTTGGTGTGAAATGTCTTCAGACATATTCATTAACAGCTACTGTTATACATTTCAAATCTTTAATGATTTTGGTGTCATATTTCTTTAAACATGTTCCCTTACAACTGCTTGACATTATACAATACAGATCTTAAATGATCTTGGTGTCATATTTTTTCAGACATATTCCCTTAAAACAATTACTTTTATACATTTCAAATCTTTAATGATTTTGGTGTCATATTTCTTTAAACATATTCCCTTACAACTGCTCGACATCATACAATACAGATCTTAAATGATCTTGGTGTCATATTTCTTCAGATATATTCCCTAACAACTACTGTTGTACATTACAGATCTTAAATGCTCTTGATGTGGACAACCAAGCAAGTGCTCAGCAGCTGTCAATGAGACTGGAGCAGGTCATCACTAACATGGAGGGGCCATCCAACAAGACAGCGTACGTGTGATGGCGACACACACACATGCACACACTCTAGTCCGTCTTCTTTCGCTGGCCTGCTCTGCTCCTCTCATCGGAATGCATTCTACAATCTAGAGGAATAGACCCCAGATACACTGACACAGATCCTTGTGAACATGATGAAGATTAGTGTAGTGTTTGAGGATGATTGAGACATTCGGAAACTATAGAACTAGAGAATCCGTTTGACGGATTACTTTGAATATCTGTGAGTTTGTATGTTGTGACTGAGAGGGAAATGTGAATCATACAGACAATGGTATTGAGAAGATCGGTGCGATCCTACTGAATACGTTTAGGAGAAGTCTTCTCTGAAGGATCCGATTATCAAATATAAGAATAATTGCCAGTTATTGAACAGATTGTGCTTTCTATGGTTTCCTGAATCCACTGTCACTGTCACAGCAGATTCCCCTAGACCAGGGGCTGATATTGCTCCTTCATCTGTGATGGAGGTTCATCGTTGGATCATCGTAATGTTGTGAGATGGATGCTAGACCACGGCTAGCTGTAGAGACCAATGACGGAACTAACACACTGGCTGATTTGTGATGGTGCTATGATATTGCCACGCTCCTGACCAAATGTCTTTCAATTTTTTTTTTGCCTGGATAATATTTCAACATTGAGATTAGGGGATGCAGTTTTTGGGATTTACATGAGAGAAAGACACAGTCTTGCCTTCTGAGCCATGTAGCCGTAGGCCCCATAAGTACCTTCTGTGGATGAAGAACGTTCGTGTGTTGTATATTCGCCGTCATAAGTGAATCCTGTTTCTGCAACATCAAGGTGCTATATGGAGGCTGCCTGGAGATGGACAACAATATGGCCGCCTCTCATCTTCGTGGTTCTCTCAACCACAGGTGCTTCTGAACGAAACGGTAATGGCCTGGCTGATAGTCCTGTCGACTCCTTTCTTCTGTGGAGGTGTTTCTTCTGGAGATGATGCTGTCAGATAGATATCTACAGCCCAATGTTCACGATTTGCAGGAATAAACATACTGGCCGTTCCATCTTTTCTACAAGCTCCTGTGAGGAAAGGATGGACCATGGCAGATTCTGATGTACTGTGAAACAGTAGTATAATTATCATATCACTTTAACATTGACTTTGTGGTGAGATTGTAGACAATCATTGTAGACCGCTGTTAGAGGACATCGTAAGTGCCAGACAAATAGATTAATATATACTGACTGGAAAGAGACTTACAAATGTAGTGTTACTTGTGCGACCTTCAACTACCAGTGTGAACTAGGCAGTGGTAGAAAGACAGCTTTGTACAACTAACTTTGGACTAACTGTTTGGATGTATTATTACGCTCTTCAACCAAGATGAGATGGCATTTCAGGAAAAGCAGGACTGTCTGACCACAAGGTTTTGTTGTCAATATGGAGTGGCCCAGCGGTTAAAGCTTTGGCGCCAAAGTCCTGGGTTTGAATCCAAATGGTTACAATGTATAAAGTTCATGTTTGGTTAAAAAAAATATGCTGGTAAAAATCTGACGTGTAATGTCGACTTATTGTTTGAAAAATGTTTTAGTCATAAAAAAAACCTTGGATTATGTTTAATGTCAAAGCGATCTTTATCGTCAGTGGTATAAAAGAAAGTCTTGTCAAAGAAATACCATCCCATCTTTGGTGAAGAGTTCTGACACAAGTCTCCTGGACACTGTTAGAGCAATATGTCTATGTATATCAGACAGAACAGCCACAAGTAGCTTCATCGTGACCTCCTCATCTCCATCACTTTATGCAACAATGCCGACATTCCCAAAGGTGCCCTAGCAAGTGACTGGCGGAGACGTCAGTTTAAGACTGTGTGACATCATAACCACTTGTATCCTTGTATCTATGCATGTAGACATGTAGTTCACGTCTAGGCACATGTTGGCTCCGTTGTTCTGGGTTAGCAGGAACCAGTTGCACCGCAAGTCTCCCTCACCATCCTCTAGATTGGTCACACTGTTCATTATAAATCATATTGCTTTACTTATCAGTTTGTTGCACTGTTATATGGATTCTGAGATACTACCGACCTGCTTGTTAATCAAAACAAGACTTTGTTATTTCATGATTGGTACTTTTTGCACAATTAACCGCTGTATAATTTAGCCTACACACTAGTGGCCGAGTTCTCCCTTCATGGTAAATTTGAAAAAAATATTACTTTATAATGAATCTAGATTGTTTGGATTCTTATGAAAGTACATTTTCTCCTCTTTCAGATGAATGGTTACACTTGTTAAAAATTTAAATGAAATTTAATTTTGTTGAATATGTTGAATGAAGGGAGAATCTGCCTTTTTCACCACCATGAGATTATGCACTGTATTGTTGAGCTAACTCCCCAAAGACTTATGCAAATGACCAGTATTATCTGCATACTCCCCAGCTCAAAGTCCCCCACTTCTGGAACTGTGGCAAATCTTACCAGGCATGTAGCACTTTTAGAACCAGTTTACCATTTCCACCAAGCTTGGCTGTTGTCATCAAACTTTACAAATTCAGCTAATTCCTGTTTGAAGATACAGTGACGCCTGTGCAAACTGACATCTGTGTACTCCATGTGGAATAAGGGGTGGTGGGGTAGCCTTATGGTCGAAGCGTTCGCTCATCACACTGAAGGCCTCGGTTCCATTTCCGACATGGGCAAATTATGTGATGCCATTGTGGTGTTCCAAGCCATAATATTGCTGGAATATTTGTTAAAAGTGGCATCAAACCATACTCACTCACTCATTGATCTGACAAAACAATTTCGTCAAATTGCTTGAGTCATTACTCTTTTGCGTAACAGTACTGAGTTGAGCATTGGCTGCCTGAACCAAAAAATCTTGGACTCCGTTCCAAACTCGATCGGTTTCTTGCTGCCATCATATGGCTGGAGTGAGGTTGTTGCCGGTAGGGCAGGACTCCCTTACTGTATTCATGAACACCAGGTGTCATCACTTACATCCACTGATCTATCCATATAATTTTCATCACTAATTTGTCTATTACGCCAGTGGAATCTGTTCTGGCAGATAATTGGGACTGATTCGTCTCTGGTGTTGGCTTTCTGAATTGGACGCAAACAGATGTCAGTTTATGCAGGCTCCACTCTAGACAGCATTATGTGTGATAGCTCATCAAAGACTCCACATCAGTTCACACTACCCTGAGCAGGTTAGCCCCAGTTTCTGTCGGAGCATTGTATACTTATATATACATATACATATATATATTTTGTATATTCTCATGGAACCATCTGTATATGCCCATTATGACTTGCCTAAATCTTGTAAATACCACTAATCCGTCATAACTTTATTGTTACTAAACATTTTTATCATTAAGAATTTGCCCTCTTGTATTGGAGTTTCTGAATCTATCTTGTACATTTTGCTCTGAGTGTAAAGCTCTGTACATCAGCCCGACTTACTCTGACAAAATGTGCTTTGTTCAAGAAATGAGAAAGACGTGTTAAAGAAAATCTTTAGCGTGTTTGTGTTTTATTTATTACTATTTTCATAATAACACGAGGACCATTGGACTAATTTATGTCATTAAATTAATTTCTTTAATGAATTATGTTAGTTTAATTTAATTGTCAAATGTCAGGTGATCTTACGATTGTTGTTATTTACTTTGATACTGACATTGGTGTACACTTTCATATTCTCATTGCCATAACCAGTGTAGGATGTTGTCATGGTATATTGATTTGTAATTCTATCTTATTTATTAATCAGCCAAATTCAGATAGGGAGTTTATCCCTGATAAAGAGTCCCCTGTTTGAGTTTTTGTTCTCAAATCAAAGAGTTTGTATTGGCATATATTTTGTCAGATATATTGAGATTTTGTTACACCTAACCAAAGGATCTTGAAAGCCTCTGATATTAGTGCTTTTTAAAAACGGATTTGCATTGAGAAGATTCTCATAATATACCTTTGCTATCAAAGCGTGCAGTTTTGAAATGTATGTTTCCTCTGAAACTGCATCTTTTGTATGTTGACATGGTTTTACAATATTTGAAGGTTCATTCCATAGTATACTGATGACATGTATGCTACGATGTTAGCTTGGCTGTATGTGTGTGGAGAACTGGTCAAGAGGGTCTGCCTCTCATGTACTTCCAATGTCAATAAATAATTCATTTTGTACAAATTAACACATTGTCTGGTGTTTTGGTGTGAGGATGGTAGACTTTGGATGTACACCTGGATGGGGAGATTTCAGCCTGTCTGTGATATAGTAAAGTGCTAATGACTTTCTCTTGTCGCTTTCAGGCAAGAGTAATTGTGTCTGGGGCATCTGCAAAGGAGACATGTTAGTAAGGTGAATTGATTCAATCATGTCTAGGTGGGTAGGATGCCAGTGTCACAGTTTGGTAAAGGTGACATCCCTTTTTACTGAGGGAACCGCCTCTGTGGTCTAGTGGTAGAGCGTCCACCCAGAGCGAGGTCCTGGTATTTTTGCTATCATCAGATTTTCAAGAGAAATTATTTTAGTGTCTTGCTGCCCAAAGGCTGTTACCCATGTGGGGTTTAATCCCCAGGTGCATCATACCCAAAGACGTTAAAAGATGTTTTTTTTTGTTATTCTGCCTTTAAGGGGATAAAACAAGTACTGGTTGGCTCAGTCAGTATACTGTGTCCGAGTGGGGTATAAAGGTTGAACTGCGGCATGGTATCTCAGTGGGCTAGCACTATAACATCGGCATTAGTCTGGACTAGCACACACACGCACGCACGCACGCACGTCACTATATATATTCAATAATCTTGGATGCGATGTTAAACCCCATTTCACCTCACCTATTACTAGAGCTGGGGTGAAGGTGGTCATTGTGGAACTAGCCTCAAAAGTTCGCTGGCGCTTGGCATTAAGGGGCTAAAACAAGGACTGGTCGGCTCGGAGTCAGTATACTGTGTCTGAGTGGGGTATTCATGTTAAACTGCGGCATGGTATCTCAGTGAGCTAGCACTATAAATCGGCATCAGTCCGGACTAGTACAAGCAGCCACACACACACATACACGTGCATGCACGTCGCTATATAAGTGCAATAATCTTGGACGCGACGTTAAACCCCATTTCACCTCACCTCACCTCACCTCACCTCAAAAGTTCACTGACCAGGTGGGCTAGGTAGCCTTAAAGGTAAAGCCAGTTTTGAATTTCACTAGCTTGAATATGTGACATTCCTCCCTCTTCCGGGTCAGAATCGTATAATGGACTCTGGGGATAGTAGAGATTTCTTATGATCATGGAAAGGGTTTTGTTGTTCTTATTTAAACAGGACAGGTGTTGCCTTCACCAGCATGTGATGATAGGAAGAGTTTTGTCACTTTTATTTATTGAAAGATGACCACCAGGACACCAGACTGAAGACTACCTCACCCAACACTGACTGTTTCATCCTCCCAATAGCATAGCTAGATGGTCACTTTAGGCAACAGGAGTGTTAGTTGAGATTGTTTTCTGCAGCATATAAGATCAGGTCTCTCACTGTCACAGTACCTGGACTGAAATACAACTGGCCCAAGTCACAGAGCCATACCACCAGATCCAAGTCACAGAGCCATACCACCTGATCCAAGTCACAGAGCCATACCACCAGATCCAAGTCACAGAGCCATACCACCTGATCCAAGTGAGAGAGAGCCATACCACCAGATCCAAGTGAGAGAGCCATACCACCTGATCCAAGTCACAGAGCCATACCACCTGATCCAAGTAAGAGAGCCATACCACCAGATCCAAGTGAGAGAGAGCCATACCACCAGATCCAAGTGAGAGAGCCATACCACCTGATCCAAGTGAGAGAGAGCCATACCACCAGATCCAAGTGAGAGAGCCATACCACCTGATCCAAGTGAGAGAGAGCCATACCACCAGATCCAAGTGAGAGAGCCATACCACCTGATCCAAGTGAGAGAGCCATACCACCTGATCCAAGTGAGAGAGAGCCATACCACCAGATCTAAGTGAGAGAGCCATACCACCTGATCCAAGTGAGAGAGCCATACCACCCCTCCAATTAAGTCCCCTCTTAGGACACAGCAATAGAGCCCTGGGTCTCCACAGGGACAGTTGTTGGAAGGGAAACAGAATATTCCAGCTATATGACGGCGGTCTGTAAATAATCGAGTCTGGACCAGAAAATCCAGTGATTGACATCATGAGCATCGATGCACGCAATTGGGATACGTTGACATGCATCAACCTAGTCAGCAAGTCTAACCACCAGATCCCGTTAGTCGCCTCTTACGACAAGTATAGTCGCCTTTTACATCAAGCATGGGTTGCTGAAGACCTTTCTATGTACTCTTGTTGTGATGAGCCAAACCATTAGACTATCCGTTCCTCCAGGTATTGCAAAGTGAACATAATTCCTCCCAATATCCACCTGGGTTACATCACTGCCTTAAATCCTGTATTTTTGCTGTCATCATGCTATGAAATCATCAGATTTTCAACAGAAATTATTTTAGTATCTTGCTGCCCAAAGGCTGTTACCCATGTGCAAGGTGGGAAAAATCACTGAGGTAGCAACAACATCTGTAGAAATGTAACAAAGCTCTTCCGTTTTGGAGGTTTTTTTAGTAATTTGTCAGTGAGTGTTTGTTGTTTATCGCAGCAGTCGGCAATATTTTAGCTACTTGACCAGGGCCTGTTGATCGAGTCTGAACTAGACTAACCACTGACTACGCAACGTCACAGGCCTTCAGTACCACACGTAATAGCCAAGTCTCAATGAGCCTGACCACCCGATCTAATATGATCGCATCTTACCAGCAAGGCGTGTAGTCAACCTCTTGAAACATCCCATTTCAGGCCAGGAAACGTTCAAACAAATTCAAATTCTAAGACAAACGGTTTTGATCTACGTTAAAACTAATACTGAAGCCACATCTTGTGATCAGAGTTATTGAATGTATGAGTAACACAGGCCTCTGCTACAGATGTCCATCATACTGCCATACAATATTTACAGAGAGGCCCCATATGCCAACGGCGCTGTAAAGATTTATGTCAACCGTTAGAGTACAACAAACAGACGACCCTGCAACATACCTAGAAATTGGGTCGCATACATACTACAAACGAATCAATTTTCCAACGAATGTCGTATCAACGGGATTTGCCTTCTTCACTTTCCCACTTGGGTTGCCCCGTTATGATCTCGTTTACTGCGGAGATTTGCGCGAATCGATATAACACCGCCACCACTATTCTATCATGTTGAGCCAATATTTTTTGTCACCAAAAAAATGGAACCTTGGCAACAAACGCTCAGTGCGAATTGTTCCTCGCTACTAATTATATAATTGATAAATATGTTTAAAATTCATGAGGTATTATATTGTACGAGGTGCACGTTTTTCGATTAAAGTCAATTCATCGTTTTGAGACAACCCTTACGTGAATCGGTACACTAAAAATGATGTTCTAGATTTGAGAAAATTGTTTTGTTGCCACACTGACGGCGGCCTGTAAATAATCGAGTTTGGACCAGACAATCTAATGACTGATACTGTGACCAACGATCCACTCTGTCGGGGTACGATGATCACCCAATTCATTTGGTCCTGTTACGACCAGAATACGTTGCTGGAGACCTATTCTAACTCAGAATCTCCACAGGGCAGAATTTAGACAATAACGGTTGGAGTACATAATTTGCACATTTAAAGTAATTTTCTGAGTTTCCTCTCGTGCATGTTACCAATTTGGTGAAACGTGATTGCCCGAATTTTAACAAGCCGTACGGAGATTTTTACACAAGCATCGTCTGTATCTTCTAGCATTGACTGTGTAAGGTCTATTGGTGTAGAGACGCGAGAAAGGTCAAAGCAGAAAACACAAATGGATAACCTGAATTTCCCGTGATATTTCCAGCAGATTGGTTTCATCGGTTTACTTTGGTTTCCAATTGTCCATAGACACAATAATATCGGTTCCTGCAATAAGATCCTTACTATTCATACTGAACACATCTCTGATGTAGACCGGTGATTATCATCGTGACGTGGGGATCAATACTAGCTATGATCACACCAATCTTCTTCATACACAATCATAACCCATTGACAGAAGCTCAATAGCGCTCCGTATGTACTGACATGCAGTCCCCAGCATCACCGGATATGACCTGTCATATCTGGATTCAGCCTGTCACACCGAGCTCAAGTCGTCTGCTGTAGACAAAGACCACCTAAAACTGGATCGACCGAGTCCTTGAGTTGAGTCACATGAAAGGTGGTGGGCCGGGTGATTACATAGCTTTGTTGGTGATTATGTCATGAGGTTTCAATTCCTGCTCACCGCTGACATTCCTCCAAAGTCCACGTCTGCCGTTCTGTAATGAAATGGTTTGAGTAAGCAATGTTCCGTAAGAAGGAACCGAGTCCGTCTGCGCCAATAACTGTAAGAGAACCTAAGGCAGAACAAAAACCAATCTTGTTTCCACTTACCACTAGATTGATTATTTTAGATCATCTTCTTTTGAGCGATTTGGACAAGCTTCAATCTCATGGTGAGATCTTAAATTACTTAGGCATTTCAAAAGAGGCTATATCATCAGTTCGAATCGTGTAGTTTATGTTCTCAAAAACGTTTCTTGTACCACTAAATTGGAAGTGTTGACATTCGCCGACCCTGCTTCCCAGAGCCCGGTTTTAAATGGTGAGGTGAGCTGAGAGATAACGATTAATACCCTGCTCTGTCATTTCATTTCCAGCTTTTCTCGACTGTTCTGGGTGTAATTTGAACATCAATTCCATGGAGACACGCAGCCCTGCCAATGAGCCCCGGAACCATGACAAACATGAGAGGTTCAGTATGACTGGGATGATACCACATGCTCGTGGACTGGGCTAGCATAACCTGCCATCTGCCGTGAAAAGTTTCCGTATGGATTATGGGACGGATTAGGGCCATGTTGGACGGTGCTATGTAATGGCAGCCGGTAGTGGTAATTGGCTCCCGAATGTGGGTGGTATTTGGATAGGTGACCGCCAACGATGCAACTCGCAATTGTCATTTAACTACAGCCTTGATATGGTATGTCGAGTTCATCCGACGGCCCTAGCTGAAACCTTGGTCAGTGCACAGGACCATGTAACTAATTATAATATTAAACAAACTAGCAGACGAGGGCGAAGTC